GTCACATCCTACTGGTTTGAAGCAAGTCACTGAAACTCCAGCCCACACTCCTGAGAAGAGGAATTGGGCTCCACTTTTTGAAGGGAGGAGCGTTAAACAATCTGTGGACGTATTTTAAGGTCACCATGTGTTCTTAACTGGAATAAGCAGAGCAATTCCAGTAAGTGGTGCGCATCACAATCCTCAGTTTATCAGGCAGTAGGCCCCTCAAGGAAATACACTTCTGCTTAAAGCTTGCCCATGGATTTTCACCTTTAATCAATTATTGAATCAAGTGCTTTCCTCCCTCTAGAATCCGCTGACTTCCCATGTTGCTGAACCACACTGACTCCATTTTGTCAGCTCCATCTCAGGCCTGAAGCCTACTTCCTCCCGTTTCTGTGTGCCTGAGTTCTAGCTGACTCACAAGGACTGCATTCTAGCCAGATAAATTCATACCAACTTTTACCCTTGCCTTCATCTGATGTGGAAACTGGAAGGCTGCCTTTTGCTAACACAGACAGTTAATGGTCATCAGACTTTTAGAGAAAGGAAAAACCCCTGGTTCCAGTCAGTGTGGACATGCTTCTCATCAGGTAGTCAGGTAGTCTATTTTTAGCTTTGGCCCCTTTAAATCCCTCTGTACTCCTTTCAGTGGTGTGGAATACAGCTGTCAATGCCTCTGGATCGTTGTCTGTCCCATACTGCCTGTATGTAAGTTACCCACAATAAACTTCATAATTGCACTTTATGGAATTGCCTGCTTTGTTTTTCAGTCTCAAAGTTCCTTTCAGTTCAGGGGATATTATTCCATATACCCGCCTTCCAACAACTTCCTTGTCTAAGAAGCCAATAGGACAGAGAATAAAATTCTTTCGAGTACTTGAAAAGTCAGTATTTTGACCACATATACCTAATGGGATATAAACAAAACAAAAAAAGCACTTCAACAGTAGTTTCACTGTTAATAATAATATTGCTAATATTACTAATATCACTAATAGTAATACTGTAAATATATGGTACAATAAAGAAATAAGTTAATGTATTAAGAAATAAATATTGAACACAACAGAAAAAGATACAAGTATAAAATCAAAGTTATTAAGAATCAATAATATTTAGTTTGAAATGGAATTATCAGCAAGAATTCATGGTTTGTTTTTCTTTCTAAAAGTATGTATTTCACTGAAAATGCTTAAAGGAAAGAAATCCAATAGTAATGAGCACACCTAGCACCCAGATTGTGGTCTCTAAATAGATTTCCTGTTAAAACATCCATTTACAGAAAATACGGGAAGAAACAAGCTACACAATATCACAAAGATAAAATGGGTCAAATCCAGAGTTTAGGAAATTCTAAAAGACAAATGACCCAAGTTCTACAAGACATACAAAAAATAAAAATATAGGAAGAACTGTTAGAGATTAAAACATACTTAATATGGACTCTTAAAAAAGAGACAAATTTGAATTTATTTACAAACAGAAACAGATTCACAGACGTAGAAAACAAACTTGTGGTTACCGGGGGAAGGGGAGGGGTGGAGGATAAACGTGAGTTCAGGGTTTGCAGATACTGGCTACTATATATAAAACAGATAAACAACAAGGTCATACTG